GTCTACGACACCGGGTATTCCCAGGTGGTCTCCCTCCCAAGTACTAACCCGGCTCGACGCTGCTTAACTTCGGTGATCGAACGAGAACCGGTGCTTTCAGCGTGATATGGCCGTAGACACTAAACATACATGCTTATTCTACTTTTATAATGTTCCCAGTGTAGTTTTAATATTTTCAACCTAGTAACATTCATGTGTTATACATTTGAATAACAATTTTAACTAACATTTTAATTAAATTAGTTGTTAAGTGCATTCACTTTTGAGGCAAACAATTGAAACTTGTAAACTAAGGCTCTGAAAGTGAATGCAAGCAATCCTGACATCTATTATATATTTATTGGAAAACTTTATTTTTAATCTCAAAAACAATTCATTTTTACATTTCATTTAATTTTTATACTAAAAAATCATTTTATTAATTGTACAAAACAATAGTTTCCGTTAATTAATTACATTTAATAACATATTTTACATATAATTAATTCAATTAATCTAAAGTGAGTACTAATTAAACAATTATAACATTTGCAACAAATGGGCACAACATATGCACGATGTTGTGTCCATACATTTCCATAGCTATCTCTATATTAATTTGTATGCAAACAGGGATTAACCAATTGAAGTGTCAAAACAGACCAGAATATTCTGTACGCTTTTCATAGATACAAAAGTATTACCTGAATATACTGTTTATACTGATTATCTTTGTATTTGTAACTATAGTTAGAAATGTCCACAAATGGTAAACTGTTTTACTTCTGTTTCGGATCTAATCTGTGGTCAAAGCGGATGCATATCAACGTCAAGAGTGCCGTTAAATATGGCAATGGATTGTTGAAGGACTGGACGTTTAGTTTTGCCGGTGCTTCCAGACTCTGGTTGGGATCCACTGCTAATATCGTACCAAAAACTAATGTATTTAATGTTTTTAATTTTGAATCAAAGGATCAATTGTTGAAATATTATTTGATCCATAGATTTATTACAAATTTTATAGTATTTCTTATATTTCTAAATATTACGATTTCTTATAATTAAATAACGTAATAATTATTTTCCAGAAACTAATTCCGAATATTAATTGATTATTGAATGAATACTCTTTAGGGCGTCGTTTGGGGAACTGTTTGGACAATTAGTGACACAGAATTGGATGGTCTGGACAAACAAG